GGCTAAACTGTACCATGTAAACCCTAGGTTTTGCATTTGTGTTCCTGCCTGATGCCTAAATTGTGCTGTACAGTTTGGGATGAGAGTCCTCTGCCACATTAGCTGTACCCAGACTCTCCCCCAGGGCCAGAGCCTGGGGAATGAGGCAGTTTGAATGCTAACAGTAACGAGTCCTCAGGAGATCTGTTTGTCCTCTTCATACCAGGATTTGGTGAAGTGCTTGGATGCACATGGACCTTGAAAAACTTTGCTTCTTGAACAGCTGTTTGACTCTGATGGGACTGAAACACAAGGCTTGCTGCACAGAAGGGCTTGTTCCGAGTTCAGCAGCTCTGAGCAGTAGGTCCTGTGTGCCAGGACCCGTATTGTGCTGCACAGTCGGAGGGTTGGCAGGGCAAATCTCCTCTGCCTGGCACTGAGTCCCAGGATGTAGAAATTGTCTGCAGATGAGAGCGTGGAGCTGAGCTGTGAGGGCCTTGTGCCAGAAAGAGAAATAAGTGACGAGGCTGGGCGCTGCATCCCTCCACATGCGACTCCCGTGAGCTTTCCCTTGCACCTTTGTTGCCCTCGAAGGCTGCTTTTTCTGAGCAGCGCAGACACCGATGCTGCTGCTCTCCTCTAAGGTGACAAGAGTGCCTGAATTTTTTTGCACAGCCCTGAATTACACCCCCAAAGTAAACTGAACTGAGCAGATCAAAACATGCGATAGTTTTCTGCTGGATGCTACAAGCTCCGAGAGGCTGTAGTATGCATGTTTGTTGTGAAATGGGCCTCTCTGGTGATGATTATTTTTGTTACAGGCAGAGTTGGCTTTAGTTTCTGTGTTGAACGTCCAACAATAACAGTGAGCCCTGCTCCCCTGGGGTGAGGGAAATCCAGAGGGGCTTAATCGGCAGGAAATTCAAGTAGGAGAACGCTCTGCTCCCGGCCTAAGGTTTCAGCCTGTCCTGATGAGCTGCAGAGCTGAAAACCCCCAAGTGTGGGTGGAGGTTCTAGGGGCCTGACTGTTATTTTTGGGTCCCCTGAGTGATGATTGTTCATTGCAGCCTGGAGGAAGCAGGGGGAGATTTCTGCAGCTGGGATGTCTCCAGTAGGTCATAAGAGGGAGGTCTGCCCCTTGCCAAGGGAGAGGAGCTCAGCTGGTGATACCCATCTCTGTGGGAAACTTTGGAGTCGCTTGCCTGCAGGAGTCTGCCCTCATGAGCTTCTCCAGATCTTCTGTTCCCATCCCTATGGCTTGGTGTATTTCCCCCAATGGGGTTGTCCTGCAAGGAGAGAATTGCTGGGGTAATATGTGTGGTGGGCCTTAACAAAAGAGAGGACCTCAGGAGGTCCGACACTACTGGGAAGTACCAACCTCTGTAGGCTCCAGTGAGGAGCCCGGCTGCTCTCCCTTGGCCTTGCCCTTGGCGTAGTGTGCCACTGGCCTCTCCACCGTGCGGGCTGGCAGGGGCCCCAGCAGTTTGCTTTCAGCACCTGCATTTTGCTTACTGAGCAACGGGATGTCCCATGCACCTGGCAGACTTGGCTTATGCTTCAGAATTTAATTTTATTAAGTGAATTCAGGGCTGGCAAAAGCTGCCAGAGCCTGTTAGCTGTGGAGCATGCCTTGCTTCCAAAGCGTACAGCCTAGGCACTAGTCGTGCCACTTAGCTTTTTTCTTTTTTAAGAAATTTTTTTTTATTTTTCCAAAATTAATTTTTGTGTGGATTCAATGCATCAGGTTGAGAGGACGCTTTTCTGTAAAGCTTGACACTCTACTATGTACAAAACAGACCTAATTTTACAGAGAAAGCCAGTGGTTGGCGTGTCTGCTCAGGCAAAATCTTGCCTGTCTGTGGGCACAGTGATAGATTTTTTTTGTTGTTGTTGCAGGTTTCTGTGTGGTAGATTATATTGAATAAAAAAAGCCTGACGGAGCAATTACAAAGTACTAAAGTCCTTTTGCCGTTTCGGATAGCTCTTAAGTAGCCCTCATTTCCCTGATAAACTATTGCCCACCATGTGGCCTGGTTCTGTGCTTGAGCAAGGCAGTGCTGAACTTCATTTCTGTGGACCTTCTTGTGGAGGAATGAATGAGAGGATAAAAATCTGTTCCTCTGAGAGATACAGATAACTTTCTGCAGCAGGTGAAAGGCTTTTCCTGCTGCAGAAAGATGGTGATATCAGAGCAGCTCAGGAGTATGGCTGATGCTCCTGTTCGCTCAGTGGTTTTGCCTACTTGTCTTGTTTTTCTGCAGAGACCGCAGTCATGCAGAGCTGGGCTCCAGCCCCTCGCGCTGAGGCTATCCTCACCAGCACCAGCAATTTAACTTGGGCACCAAGCTGACTTGAAATTGGGATCTAGCCCAGGGCTCTCCTTGGTTTCGGTCCTGCTGACATGCAATGGCCCTGCAGAGCAAGGGAGGAGTTTTAAGATCGGGGTAAACTTGGGTTTCTGCTCCTGAGTTCATACGTTGGGGCAGAGCTGGAGCAAGCTGGAGCCTGACATCCCTGTTCACATTGAAGTTCCCCTTCAACTGGTTGAGTTGCGACAGCTCACAGAGTATTCATAGTATCCAGCGAGTAAGGGGCTAGCAGCTTCTGAGTGGTGGGTGATGTTGGTGGTATCAGCCTAGCGGGTAGCATGTGTGTGAAAGCTGGAGAGACGGGGAGGGGATGATGAGGTGTGGAAGGATTGACTGTATTTTCATTGCTTCAAGACTTCGCCCTTTCCAAGAAAAATAATCTGCAGCTTGAATATTTCTCTTTGCTGGAGCGGGTGGACATGTGTGCAAATGAGGTGTGAATTTTTATGAGAAGGTGTGAAAGTGCGTACATGAGTGAAGTGTGAATTACACGTCTATTTGTATGTTGATGTCAACAAGTCCCTGAATTTCTTCCTTCCACGTGAATGTCTCTCTTGCTCTCTCTCTCCCCCTAAACCCACATAGACACATGTGTGGGCAAATATGCCTTGCTGAGAGAAGAGATTTGTGCAAGAACGTAGGTTTGTAAATGTTTGTGTGTTGAGCAAGCTCTCCTGTGGAACAAAACCAGATGTTTTTTGGTATTCTCAGCTCTTCAGTGGCACTGCTGCGATTTTTCCCCTCGTATTTTTCAGGATACTTACAGGATTATTTTAAGAAAAAAAAAGGAAGGCTGCAGAGCTGCCTTTGGGTGTGTGAGAAGAAAGTTATTTTGAAGAACGAATGTGTTAGAGGGCATGAAAAAGACGGGGAAAACTGAGAGAGTGCTTTTTCATGGTGAAGGAAGCCTGGCACCCCCACGAAGGGCCCTCCTGCTGCCCTTGTTCCCACACAGGGCACATGTATTTTCTGCAGGCAGCGTGCAGGCGGCAGGTTGTTTATTTAAAGTGTTTTTTCCAGGAAGCATTACTGCCAAGGGTTCCTGCCTTGATCCTGCTGCTCGCGTTGGCTTTGGCAAGGAGAGAGGCTGTGATGTCCCCACCGAGAGTGGGCAGACTTGTGACAGCCTGGCAGGGGACACTCTTGGGGCCTGGCAGACCCCATGGCAGAGGGACAGAGCCAGACCCGCAGCACGGTCTTGAGCCCACGCAAGTCTGCGCTGCTTTGCTTCTCTGGGTTGATCCTGGGCTTTGCAACAAGCGCTGCTGTGGGAGGGCCAGGGCAGGGGGGAGCACCGCGGAGACCCTCGGCCCACGGAGCCGACGGGGTGTGGGATGTGTGGTTGCTCTCCTGCACCGAGGGTGATGATCCTCCTGTGCTGTGGCTCTCTCAGGGATGTGCCTTGTGCCTTAGGCCCTATCGTGAGGTGTGCCTCCGGAAGGCCTGAGGGACCGGAGCCCTCTGGGGCTGTGGGGAGGCTGTGGGGACAACACACAAAGGTTTGTGTCCCATACCGTACCCTGCTGCTTATCATCTGGGATGGGAAAGCCCTTCTGCAGTGTGAGACCAGGGTCACTCTCTGTGCCTGCCAGCCTGCCCTGTGGAGGGGATTAAGATTTTGCTGGGTTTTGCCTGTTTTGCTGAGTGTAAGGTGGCAGTGCTGTCTTCCTGTGGCAGCTCACAGGGCAGGGGGACAGCAAGAAGCACGTGGTAGGGGACCCATGGAGAAAGGTACTTTGGGATTTATAGTGCGTTATCAATTGACCCTGCGATGCAGATTTTCCTCCCAGCAAGTAATGCAATAATAAATCTGATTTGTATTGTTCATGAGATTAAATCTTTTTTTTAAGATGAAATCACCCTCTAGGGCCTGTTCTAACCCAAAGCTGAGAGTGCTTCCTCTGCTCACCACGCAGCCGTTGCCAGCCATTTGTGGGCTAGCCCCACAAAACCGCCGCTGCTGATTATCTGCATCTGCAATTCCAAAGGCTGGGTTAATTTGAAAGGTTTTGGGATCCCATCTGCTGAGATGGAGTCCTGGGGACAGGCTAGGTTGGGGAGGGAGAGCACAGCTAGCAGAGAAGGGCTGTTGTGGGGCTCCAGGCTGGGGCCAGGAGTGCTGGATGCTATTCTCTGCCACTGCCTGTACAGGTGAGCCTCACCACCAGCCCTGCCGTGCCTCGGTTTCCTTCCTTGGGAACAGCAAAGCTTTCTGCAGCTCTGACGAGTTTATAGCGTCCAAATTTTGGTGTCTTCTGAGGCAACTGTGGGAGATCAACACAGAGCAGCTTGTGAGGGAAGCAAAAGAGGGGGTAAAATGAGGCAGCTGCAGATGATCTGATATCAATCTGTCCCTTACTTTATGGCTCTGTAATTGCCTCAGCAGGAGCGTTTATTTCTCTTTCCTCATCTGTGTGAAATGTGGTATGTAAGTGTGGCAGGAGGTGGAGGGGAAAAGGAGTAGACTTGTTGTGTAGCGTAATTGCCCTTGCTCAGAGATTAAGATGAAATATTAGAGTACTAAATGGGTGTCAACAGCCTGGAGAATGGCCTTTATCAGACCACCCTGAGCAGAGGCCCGGAGGGTCTGGCTTTACACAGCTGATGCCCAGAACCCATTTCAATGCCTTGTTCCCTTCTGTGTCTCTGCAGCTCAGCCGTGCGGGGGCCGCCTCAACTCCAAGGATGCCGGGTACATCACCTCCCCGGGGTACCCCAATGACTACCCTTCCCACCAGAACTGCGAGTGGGTCATCTACGCCCCTGAATCCAACCAGAAGATTATCCTCAACTTCAACCCTCACTTTGAAATTGAAAAGCACGATTGCAAGTAAGAGCCTTCCTCTTCCTTTCTAGTACATAGTCACCTCCTCTTCCTGCTTCTGGCTAGCAGTGTGGGCCTCATGCTTCCTTGCACATGAAAATGGTCATCTCGTTGCCTTTCAGGGGCAAGTGTGCCTCTAATGACTGGGTGGTTATAAGACACTGCTTTGGACACACAGGATGAGCCTGCTCTGCATTGAACTGATGGTTCTCAACTTGACTTAATGTCACCTGAAAGCAAGAGCTTTTGGTTAAAAGGCAGCTTGATTTTTTCAGCGTTGAAGTGGTCCTGCTGTCCTTTTAAACTGTGCTGGCAGAGTGGAGCAATTTCCTGACCTGGAACTAGGCAGAGGTATGGCACAAAGAGCCCTAAGGCTCAAGACCCAGGCTCAGGCCATGTGAGGCTGAGGACTTGGGGATCTGAGCTGTTTAGGCTGGATCTGACTTTCCACAGTGCTTATTCTGCTGACTTTGGTAAACCAGGGGTTTGGTTTTATTTGCTTTTCTTTCCCTTCTTCTAAGAAGGGACTTGGAAACTAGATGTCCAGGAAAAACAATTAACAACTAGTAAAGAGTAATTAATGACATCAAAGGGCACCGTAAAAGACTGAGTTAATAACATGGTCTTAGCAGATGTAAAACTTGTGTGTTTAATCTGGAATCCACAGCCAGCTACAGCAGTGCCTGAGCTGTGAAGGAGCTTGGAGTCTCCTAAAACAGGCCTGACACAGCAGTCTTGCCAGACATGCTGGTCCTGTTGATTAAAAGGCAGTTATATATGGAGAAGGGAACTCTGTTTGCAAAAAGGATGGAAGGACAGAGGAAGCGTTTATGGAGCTGTAGAATCAGTCCTGTGGAGAACAAAGAATTCAGCATAGGTTTGATGATGTACTGAAGGTTATGAAATATAAGAGCTGGATCCTGAGCTACCATAAATCAGCGTAGCTCCTTGAACTCTAATGAAGGTGTGCTGATTGAAGTCATTGGGGATCTCGTCACCCCCTACAGATAAAGCCTGGGCTAATAAGCCTTCAAGCACCATGAACTCTCCCTGAAGTCATTGTGTGCGCAAGGCGTTTAGCACTCTGCAGGATCAGGCCTGTGTTTTAGAGAGGGCAGAAGGCAGAGAGATGCTTAACGTGGGTACAGATGAACACAACAAGGCATTGACAGCACACATAAGAATGATGTTTGCTATCAGATTTTTTTATTGCCTGCTCAGGTTGAACTGTATAACCTTCTCATAGCTAATGCAGTTGCCCCGAATTCAGAGTAATAAAAGCTTTTTAGCCCTATATTTGCAGTCTGCAGGGTATGCTGTGTAGATCGGGCAGGACAATGTTGTGTGCTGGGCAGGAGGGAGTCCAGCTTCTGCTTCTCCAAGGTCTCAGGCAAGCAAAGCCAGATTGGTCAGAGAGCCAGAAAGTCCTATGGGCACCTTGCTTTTCCTCCATGTGTAAGAAGCTGTCAGTTTTACCTCTGAGTGCTCTGGGCAACTTTTGCCTTGTTTTGCTGCCTATGAGGGAGGAGGGTCTGGTCCTGAGCTACAGGTGGTGTGTGCTGGAGGGGCTACCAGAGCCCTGGAGATATCCCATTGCTACTTTCTGCTTTACTGTGGCAGATCTGAGTGGCTCCTGTGTGGTGTTGCTCCTAACCATTCTGTGTGTACCTGCATGAGGGAGCCTTTAGTTAAAGCAGAAAGATTTGAGTTGGAGAGTTCTGGTCCCCCATGTAGGACGTGAATTGTGGAGAGTTTGTTAGGGTCTCTGATTCAGTCCAGCTCTTGTGGCAGCATTCCTCTGTAGAAACCAGGTGTTAAAATCAAACTGCTCCTGAAAGTCAAGTTTGCCTGCACCTCTATCCCCTCAGCTGCCACTTGTGTGCAAGTGAAACAGGCTTTATGCATGCTGCACTTTGGCTTCTGCTGGCCACAGGTGTGAGCCGGGAGCCAAGCTGGACAGTGCTTGATAGAGGAAGCATAACAAAACATATGAAAACAGTGCATGATAAACACTGATTAAAAGAAATTAATCGGAGGGAGATTTTCTTAAAATGACCTACCAGAATGAGACACTGTGTAATGCTTGAGCATTAAGCAGTACTAATAGGTGACCATCTAGTAATAAATATCATCCAAATGTCAGAGAGTACTTTACAAAGAAGCCAAGGCCTCGTTGCAGCTGCAGGTGGGAACCTTAACAGCAACAGGAGTTCAGCATTAAAGAAACAGTCTCAGGGCAGAGCCCTTCTTTTGACATCTAGTTATTAATGCATTATAGAGTGCATTCACACAAAGGTGACAGGCTGATGGAGCCCCATTGTGGCACTCTGTCTCTGGGCGGACAGGGTTCCCCTTGCCCTGATATTGCTGCCTGGCAGCTCTCGGAAAGGGGCTGGTCTCTGCTTCCAGCTGCCAGAGACAGACACCATAACCCCTTCCTCTGCTGTTTCTTCCTCCAACATTTCATCTTACCTTATTAGGCTAAAGTTTCTCCCTCATGAAGCATAACGTTTACATTCCTAAAATCCATTCCAAGGCTTACAAAAATATCTGCAAAAGTCTTTTTAGCTTTACTGCCTCTTTTCTGGCCTTTCTTGTATCTGCTTTAGATTTCCCTTTGGGATGGGAGGCGTTTCCTCCTGTGTTTTGTACAGTGCCTGGCACCCTGGGGACCTCTGCGGGAAGGTCAGTGACTTCCCCTGGCTGGGCAGCTGGCCGGAAAGGGGCTGCATACCCGGTGCTGCCCAGCTGCCGGATCCAGAGCTGGCTGCGGAGAGGCGCCGGGCCTGCGGGGGGCGCGCGGCTTCGGCAGCCGCCCCTCCCCGCTGGAAGGTGGAAGTACCAGCCAGGGATGCACGCCTGGAGGTGGCAGCCAGGAGCAGCTGCTCCAGGGTGGTTGTTGCTATTGTTTTTCTGAAGGCACATCTGGACTTTTATTTTTTGACTGCGTCCAGCTGTGTTAAGAAGCAACTGCGTCCCTCATCATCATGAAAGGAGTAATTTGGTGTAACTGAAGCCCCAGCTTTGTCTGTCTGCCTTAGTTTGTGAAGGCACTTCAGGTTAAGAAAATTGGCCTGCTGTTGTGGCTCTTGTGCACCAGCCCAGCAGGGATCCCTGTTGCGGGAGGGCGGGCACGCTGGGACAGGGACTACAGGACCCAGGCCGTTATTTGTGCTGTCCTGCAGCGGTGGAGCCGCAGCAATAATGGCAGAGCCATAAGGGAAGTTTCGATTCTCTGACAGAAGATCTGCCAAACTATTCAGAAATAATTGTAATGGCCTGTCTGTTCGCCGTTTCTTCCTCTCTGTGCCGCGAGCGCAGCTGTTGCTCAGGCACTGCAGCCCCGTGCCGTTGGTATCTGCCCTCTGAATAGGGAAGTGGCATCCAGTGGGAAGGAGCACAGTGCCGTTGCTGTGGCAAAGTGCTTCTGCTTCCCGTGTTTCATGAAGGTAGCTGGGCAGCCTTGTGCGTGCCAGGGTTTATTTGTGATCCCAGGAGTGACCTGAACCGTTTGCAGTACATGTGAACAGGAGTGGCTGTCCCCCAGCTTGTGCAGTCACGTAGCTGAGCTGCCTGCGCCTTCCTAATTGTCATTTCGCTGTTCTGTCTGTGCTGCTTGCTTGGAAAATCCAAGTCAGAAATCTCAGCTCTGAGTGAATCACTGCATTTATTATAACCAACCACCCTTTCCATTCGTGCCTCCCTCCCACTGCTGGGCTTCTCTTTGGACCATTAAAAGCTCCCTCCCAAGACTGGCTACTGACTGCCATCCCTGGCCACGCTGGCTGGCTGCCAGGAGATTAGGCTGGGCAGAGCTGCCGGCTGAGGGCCGGGACCTTGCTGTACACACATGGTAGAGGCACGCTCCTGCCAGACTGCAGCGGATGGGCTGGTCCGCCCTCTGCAAACCGAAGACCTTTTGGCTGAGTCATAACATCTGCAGCAGAGGAACGTTCTTCTCTTTTTTCAAAAAAGACCAGCTGATAATCCAGCCATGCCAGAGGGTTTTTCTGTAGCCCTTTCTAAGACACGCTGCAACTGGGCTGCGGTGGCTGACATCCCTGCCTGGGGACGATTTGTGGGGCTGCTGCCGTGGCTCACAGCCCCCCCTGGTGGCAAATGCCAAATGCTGGCAAACGTTTATGGAGATGGGGCCCTGGGGCTCCAAAAGCGGGCAGAAGCTGGCAAATTGGAGACAGCTCGGAGCTGCACAGTCTTTGTCCCAATTTTAGCTCCCTATGTCAAACCCTGAGGGTTTCCAACCATAAGAACTGGGGCCACCATAATGAGGAAATTTATGCAGTTGTCACCGTGACCTTGTGAGTGCCATGGTGGTACCAAGAAAGTTGAACCAAGTTCAGCATCCCAGTGTGTGCAGGATACCAGGCAGTCGTTCCAACTCCCAGCCTGAAGAGCAGAGGGCAACCCAGGGTTTGGCAAGGGAAGGCACCACCATGCTCCCACACCCATCTCGCAGAGCGCTGCCTTCCAGGGGGCACTGGCAGTGACGTGCTGCTATTCCCAGGCTGCAGTACGAAGGGTGAGGCATGTGAGTTCAGTCAGCCAGTGACGGCCTCTTATGGCAGCTTGGCCATCCCCTGTGCTTCCAGAAAGCTGGGCACTGGAACAAAACAGCTCTGTATTCTTCCTAGAGAGCAGCAGAGGCAGCGGCCCAAGTCCCTTGCTCAGGTGTCAGGGGGAGCTGCAGCCAGCCCCAGTGCCCGTGGGCAGGCAGCTGGTGGCTGCAATATTCAGCCTGACTCTGGGCCATCTCCTTCAAAAAAGAGCGTAATCTTTCAAGAAGCTGTTCTTCTGTCAGTGAAGGTTAAGAGTAGACGAGGCAGCAATTATGGACAGCTAATTAGTAAATGCTTTGAAAAGTACGCATAATTAGCTTATTATTAAACATTTTAGAAACAATGCAGTTCATCTTGAGATTGGGAAAATGCTTAGAAAAGAGAAATACATTTAGAGCACTACAGGACACCAAGGCTTCGGGGATTCTT